TAGTCTCAGAATTCTGACATAAGTCTTAGAATTCTGACTCTTCTCAGAATTCCGACTTTAGTCTCAGAATTCTGACTTTAGTGTAGGAATTCTGACTTTAGTCTTAGAATTCTGACTCTTTTCTCAGAATTCCGACTTTAGTCTCAGAATTCTGACTTTAGTCTGTGAATTCCAACTTTAGTCTCAGAATTCTAACTTAAGTCTTAGAATACTGCCTTTTTCCCGGAATCCAGACTTTTTTCTCGGAATTCGGACTTAAATCTCAGAATTCTGACTTTAATCTCGGAATTCTGACTTTAATCTCGGAATTCAGACTTTTTTCTCAGAATTCTGACTCCTCAGAACATTAAGATCCAAAATTCTGAGATTAAAGTCAGAATTCTGAGAAAAAAGTCAGAATTCTGATATTAAGGTAAAAATTCTGACTTTTTTCCCATATTAAAAAATCAGTAAACTTATTTTTCTTCAGTAGCCCTAATCCTCTTCCGTAATATCCTGCTTTACAAAATAACATTAATAATAATAATTTAAATGTTTTATCCACAATAATACTACGTGTTTCTTCCTAATAATCATAAAGCACGCAGTTCTTGAATAGCCGATCCATTTACTAGTGTAGTGTGGGTATTCCAAAGATGGTGATTTATTTCAAATGTTTTTATCTGTTGATTTTTAATAATTGCAGAATACAGAGAAAGGTCCAAACTCAGTTTTACAGAATACAACATAATCCTATTAACTGTTTATACAGAGATTTGGTATTGTGGTCAGTTTTTTTTCCTTTAAATCGTTTATTTCTTTAGGAGCTTTCAGACTCTCCATGATAAGAGTTAGCAACAAAAGCTAATTGTTAAAGAAGCTAGTTGTTGAGTGTCCTGAAAGGAAAGTTATGGAAAGTTGAGTGGAAGGAAAAAGTACACCAGCAACAGGATTATCTACAGCCCTAAAGAGATTTTGAAGTAATTTTTTATTTATTTACATTTTTTTCGGGTGGTCACAAAGTATGGATTGGAGCTGGAATCAAAGTATAAGAGGAGACTGTTTAGCAAAATGTGAGCAACATGTAGATTGATGGAGGAGGAGAAGTAAATGTTTAAATTGCAGGATGAAGGAGGTTGTTGTTGGTTTAAATTGCTGAATATATAAGGAAAAGGTGACATATTCAGACACTCAATAAAAGGAGTTTCTGTTTTTCTTACCTTTAGCAGTACTGTGTAACTTTTGGCCACTAGGGGCACTAGACCTGTAACTTCCATGTTTAACGCCTCTGAAACCACCTGACAGCCCTACACTGGCACAAAATTAAACAGAAATAAGACGGATCCAATCCTCTTTTATACTATATTCTAATTTATTGATTGGCACCTCCTTATGGGCCTTTTTTTAGCAGTAGAGGCAACATAAAGTAATTGACATAAGAATTTGGTTAAAAATAATAATGAGCAACACAAAGTTAAATGTTTTGTATTCTTATACCATATAAAGGAAAGTAGTAGAAAAAGAATAATTAAACACAGCTCAGGTCTAAGCTCTGAAGATAAGGCTCCACTCTGTTTCATCTCAGCTGCCTGCAAAGAGACGTCTGGAAGGAGAAAACAGTTTATCAGTCTGGATGTTTATTCTCACTGTGGGTCCTGTCTTGTCAGGTCTGCCTGCACAGGATCAGCATGGACTGCCTGAGCAGCAGGAGGAAGCTGCTATAGCTGGCTGGGAATAGGCCCCGCTCCCCGGGTCCATGACAGGACCCAACTCCCCAAGCCGGACCGGCACCTCCCCAGCCAAGCTCAGCAGGCACGGCCGGTCCAAGAGCACCAGCGCGCACTGTCTCCTGCGCTGCGGGACCCGGGAGGAATCCTCCACCTCTCCTCCCAACCATTCCCCCGAGGAGGAGGAAGAGGAGAAGGATGGGGGGGTTCTGTTCTACGTTAACCGGAGCGGTTTTCCCATTGAGAGCGTCACCTGGGAGAGGATGTGGTCCCATGTGGCTGCTGTGCACCCAGAGGGCCAGGAGATGGTGAACAGGATACGGAACGCTGCATACCTGCCAAAGGTAAGATAAGCTGGTCGTCCAGGTCATAGTCATCCCAAAAAGTTTAAAAACAATCCACTGGACTTACTTTCCCAGTTTGAAGACGTTTTGCTTCCCATCAAGAAATAAAGTCCAGTGGATCGTTTTTTTTTTCTTTTAACTGCCAGGCTGAGTTTACAGTTTGTTTTTGGTTTTGGGTCGTTTTCCGGCCCTGTGTTGGCTGCAAAACTTTTGATCAGAAATCCTATGATTTGGATATTTTACTTTTAGAAAATGAATGCAATGATCTTTAACTCCGTTTGTATGCATGTATTTGTTGTTGTTATCTGAACATCTACTCTGGATGAGTCTATGTCATGTGACAACGCTGAGATGTCAGGGATTCACAGAACTTCTTTCATTAGTAAAAAGCTCTTTATGAAGTTTTCTCCCTGGGCTTTTTTATGACTGTTTTTTTTTTCTACGAAGTAATCTGGAAGTCCTCTGGGAGGCATAAATGCTGCCGGGCTTTACTGCGACAAGATGGAGTCACTGGGCTTTTATTGAAACATTGAGTTAATCGTGTGTTGTTCTTCATCATACAGTATATGTGCACTTTGATGACTGAAATAAAGTGATGGAATGACGATTAGAGGTGATTTATTTTAGTACTATAATGTTTTTTGTGCTGGTATTTTGAAGTAGACATCCATATTTGCATTTACTTGTTTTTACATTCGTCTTCCTGACTTCAATTTTATTCTGTTCAGATTCCTCATCCAGAGTTTTACTAAAACAATTAAGGAAAAGAGCATTGCTTGTTAGCCTTAATTGGGTTAAGGCTCTGACTCTGGGGGTAGGGGCATGTACAACATAAACCGCAAGTTCGTGACTAGGGGTGGGTATTGGCAAAGAAGTCATGATTCGATTCGAATCCCGATTCACATGCCACGATGCGATTCTATCACGATGCATCACGATGCTTGAAATCTTGCGATGCATCGCGATGTGTTGCGATATTTTCACTGAACACTGTAGGAAAAGGATACAGCCCTTACCAGTGGCTGACTGGCTGTGTATGATCTGGATAGTGTCTTCAATTGATACATAACTGAAAGCAACTGAATTCATACATAGCTGTATTTATTGAAATGACTTTTGGAGGTGTTGCCAT